TAAGGGAATTCTATTACAGGAAACTGTTCCATGCTTTGTGAAAAACCTTGTATTTATTACTTGGGATATTTTCTTTTTCTAAATGAAAATGCATCCCGCGGGGCCTTGGTGAAGTGGAACACCCGAGCACACCGAAGGCATCACATGCCTCTACCACCCACATTCAAAGCTTCCTGGGCAAGAATATGTTCCTAGGAAGCAAGTATTTTGCAGACGACCACTTCTGAGCCAGAGCTTAGCTCATGGCTCCAACCCCTTCCTGCAACCCAGCTGCAGGAACTGGAGTGAGAAGTTTGGCATCTTCCAGCACAGACAGGATGCTACCACCCAGTTCAGCGTTTCGGGGAAGTGGAGGTGCTGGATGGCTGCTGGTGGGGACAGATGCGTGAAGGCAGTGACCACAGCCTGGTCACACGCTGCCTGGCTCTGCCACTGCCCTGAAGGATGGGCCACCCTCAGCTCTCCGTGGAGCAAGCCCCGTTTAAACACCAAAATGTTGTCCAGGCTACGTTTAGGATTTATTAATTCTTATTATTATTTTTGAAAAGTTTCTGGCATAACCCCTGCTCAAACGGCATTTCATTTCCCGGGCGGGGGAGTCCCGTGGCATGTCTGAGAGGGGTCCGTCGCGGGAGGAGCCCAGCCTGAGGAAGGCAAGGAGCCGAACAGCTGATTTCGATGCAAACCTGGTGGTGGCTGTCGTTCCTCAGCAGGTCATTGTATTTCTCTGCACCCGGGGAAGATGATTTGGACACATGCACTTTGAAGAGCCGTTTCAGCTGTTCCGACACCTCAACCACAACATGTTGCCTCAAAATCGTTTTGTTAAGCAGAGTCGTCGCCGTGCTCTTTTGCCTCGCAGCTATGAGACCCGTGGACCCTCCTGAGGAAACTGCAGCTCTGCAGAGGCACACGGAGCCGCGCGGGGCGGCGAGCGGCAAACCTGCCGCGGCCCATGAAACTTTTTAGATTTTCTGATGCTATCGTTAGTTATTACACTCCAGAAGCCTCGACAGCTGAGGCTGAAGCCAGAAGGACTGTGTCGCTTCACACCATCTCAGGGTCTAGGTACCATCCCGAGAAGGACCCGTTGGTGCCCGTGCTGCTCTGGCGTGGCAGCATGAGGGAGCAGCAGTCGCTGGTGAGCTGGGCCAGAGAGCTGGCCAGGCTGGGCTCTGCGGTGACATCAGATCAGTGCCGGGCTCTGCAGGGACACCAGGATTGGTGATGGACTCTGCAGTGACATTGGATCGGTGCTGGGCTCTGCAGTGGTGCCAGGTCAATGCTGGGCTCTGTGGTGACACCAGGATTGGTGCCAGGCTCTGCAGTGGCACCAGATGGGCACTGGGCTCGGTGGTGACGTCAGATTGATGCTGGGCTCTGTGGTGACAGCAGGATCAGTGCTGGGCTCTGCAGGGTCACCAGGATTGGTGCTGGGCTCTGCAGTGGTGCCAGATCGGTGCCGGGCTCTGTGGTGGCACCAGATGAGTGCCAGGCTCTGCAGTGCTGCCAGATCGGTGCTGGGCTCTGCGGAGGCACCAAATCAGTGCCAAGCTCTGCAGTGGCACTGGGTCAGTGCCAGGCTCTGCGGTGGCACTGGGTCAGTGCTGGGCTCTGCGGTGGCACCAGATGAGTGCTGGGCTCTGCGGTGGCACTGGGTCAGTGCTGGGCTCTGCGGTGGCACCAGATGAGTGCTGGGCTCTGCGGTGGCACTGGGTCAGTGCCGGGCTCTGCGGAGGCACCAGATGAGTTCCGGGCTCTGCGGTGATGCTGGATGGGCGCGTGCTGCCAGGATCTGCGGTGACACCAGATCGGTGCACTGGGCTCTGCGGCGGCGCCGGACGGGCGCGTGCTGCAGGACCCGGTTAGCGCGGCTGCGCTGATCCACGGATCCACGAGGCGGAGAGTGCCCAGCGGCGACGTTGCCCAACAGCCAAGCGGGCGCCGAACGATGGGACAAAGGCGCGACACTTCCCCGCTTGGCAGGACGGAGCGCGCCAAGCTCATCTGCGGTGCAGTCTCAGAGCCGTTGTCTCCTCTCTCTGGCTTTCCGGCCATAACTAGGGAACGCTGTCGGGAGCTGCTCTGCCTCTGCCTGGTGCTGGAGCACAGATGCTGACACCCAGCGGCCGCGGGGCTGCCCGCACCCGCGCCCCGGCTCGGGGGCCATGCAACCTTCACGGCTCCTCGTGCGCCGAAGGAGCAAAGAGCTGCAAAGAGGGCAGCGAGGCCGTGAGCTCGAGGGTGTGCAGAGGCGTTCTTGGTGCGAGTCGGGCAAAGACATGCCCCGCCAGAGCTGGCGGGGGTGAGTACAGTAAAAACACGGTGGAAGCAGGACAGAAGCTGGGAGCAATAAGAGCAGAGTATGCCAAAGGACTGCTTTTGAAAGAGCTTTACTGAAAATATTAATTATGGACTACAGGAAATGGAGTCAACTGCTATGCTGCAAAGACTGCGTAATTAGGAATACGGAATTAGTATAATTCTGCGGATTTGGCGGGGGGAGCGTAATGCTGAAATTCTAGCAAGGTTTAGGATGTTAGGAAGTAGAGAGGGCCACGTATGAGGACCGGATGTTGCTCGTGCTGCAGATGCAATGCTGCGAGGAGCAGGTGGAGGTGTCTCGGCTGTGCAGGGAGGACCCTGAGCGCGGGGACCAGCCTGGTGCTGGGAAGCCGCTCCAGGGCAAAGCCCGCCTTTCCTCACCTAGACACGCACATAGAGCCGCAGCATACCGATATAAGGAGATGTCCTTAATTTATCACTCCGTTACTAGGCAGGTTTCTAGGCATACTTCAGCCTGATTTTTATGTTTTGTGGTTACTGAAACAGCTCTGATCTTTTCTGGGGCGAGTTGTAGCTCTGGAGGTACAACATCTGTTCCTCTGCCACCTGTCCATTCTTCTTCCCTTCTTATCTCTTTTTGGACAGAATTAGGCTAGAAGCCTTAACCTGGCTTATAAAGCAGTGCCTAAAGAGAGCTCCAGCATGGTCTTAGCATCACTTCTCCCCTCTGGCACATTTCCTGGCATTTCCGTAGACTTACTTAGAGCAGGGTTTTTGCTCTGTGCTTGAGCTGCACTTGGCCTAGCAAGAGTTTAGGGCTGTAAGTGGGCTCTTTGCTCTGCTATTTGTTTACCTGGGGTCTTCTCACTGCCTGGTCGCTTGGGTTTGTGCGCTTGGCCCGTGCAGATACAACAGTTTGCAGTCAGAGGACTCGCACCCGTGGGCAACGTGTGCCGAGGCTGCCACCTCTGCTGGCGTCCCCTCTGCATGGAGCACTCTGGAGGGGGTCGCACCGCGTGAAGCCTTGGCTCCCCCCACCAAAGAGGCATGGAGATCTTGTCCTTGCGGGGCAGGTGGATGGGCAAGCAGTGCCGGTGCCTGCCAGGCTGTTGAGCACCCCAGATGCCTGTGCAATCTGTGTCAGGGGCTCCCTTGCAGTCAAGTGGGTGAAATTACATCTGATTTACCCGCTGCACCAGGGTGGTCTCTATTACTCTGCATTTCAAATGGGAGAGTTTCACAATGTGGCCATGTATTTTTAGTAGCCATTTAAATGGTTTGACAGGCTGGCAGAGTATCAAAGGCATACTGGGCATTATTTTCAGGAGCAGGGAAGCTCAACAGGCCTCATTCCAATGGTTTCCTTTAGCACTTTTGGATTTTAACCACTATTATTAATGCAATAACTACTGCCCATGATGGCAGTCCTGAAGACCCATAGCCCAAGTGCTCCCCAGTTTTGCATGCGCGCAAGTCCCGTGGATCCTAAAAGCACTGGAAAGACCCCAGCGTTAACCCAGCCGAGCAGCTCAGCTCTGAATTCATCCGTGCTCCGGGTCAGCTTTGTTTCAGCTTCCTTCGCTCGCTCATGGTTCCTTCCGCCCTCTGCGAGATCAGGCAGCGCCGTGCCCAGTCCAGCTCCTTTCTCTCGTAGCCAACGTGCTGCATTCATTGAGTTAAAACACAGCATTTGCAGCGCCCGTTGCATGCTTGCCAGTATTTTTAAAGTAAAGCCATCTAACGCTGACTAGGAGCCCCAGGAAGCAGCAGAGGGTATGGTCAGAGGTTGTATCTCCTCCAAATAACAGCAATCGGGTAATTTCATTTCTCCTCCAGTCCGATTTTTCTGGTGCTTTTTTTCTTTGATTGCTCCCCGAAGAGCATTAGGTTGTTGCCCTCTGAGCAGCTAATAGTGACTGAGTAATTTTGCAGTTGGATGCATAAGACATCGCTTGCTGTGTTGTTTTCTGACTGTATTAACAGGGTTCTTTCTTTGCATATCTGATTGCTGCAAACTTTATTTTCTTTCCAAGCTTCCCCCGTGCACTAGAAATTTCCATCTGGGAATAACTACTCCCACAAGAAAATATGTTCTCTGGCTTGGTCAGAGGAAGTGAAAGCACAGTAAACACATGGGTTTGGGTTAGTTCATTTTTTTTTAACGGACAAACCCAGAACTGTGCTTGGTGGATAGTGTCTCATTTGGGGGGTCACCCAGCTGTAGTGCTGATTTTTTTTTTTCAATCAGTAGAGGGAGTGATTCCTTAAAAGCCAGTCAGCTATTCCATTAGCTGAGTACATGGTATTGAGAGACATCTGGGATACTGCACTGAATTCTGGTACCTGTGCTCAGTTCCTAGAGAAGCTCCCATTCTTGCCTTTGCCAGAGTAACCCTTTGCTTTTCCTTTTAGCCGTCTGTCATTTGCCGTAGCTGTGACTATGTCTTTTTACAGCAAAATTTTCTCTTGAGGCCTCCCTACTTCAGCTTTGCAAAAGATAAGGCGTATCAGGTGATGAAATAAATACAGTTAGCTCAAGGGCAGCATTTAAATACTATCAGCAGATAGAGTATTTGGGGACTAGGGAGGAAGAAATGGTGAGAAAGGAGTGGGATAAAGTGGCAATCTGCAGGCATTAGTAGGTAGCGTTGTGTGTGAGGTCTTGCCCTTCAATGTGCCTCCTGCTGACACTCTAAAAAAAAAAAACCCACACAGCAGAGTGGTGTCTTTATTCATTGCTGTTCCCACTGCCTCCTTTTTCTCCCTTGTCCCTTTATCAGAAACAGTTTGCTCCAGAATCAGTTTAGAAACTCTTCCGAGGTCTTCCTGGGCCTGCTGAGGACTTGAAATCCAACAACCAACCTTGTAAATGGCAGCAAGTAGCAGAGGCCCAAAGGGACTTTAGATAGCTCAGAGCTCCTTGTCTCTCCTTGGGATGATCTTCTAAGAGCAATCCATCAAACACAGGCAGTACAGTCATCACGGAGTTAGCATCCCATGGACAAGGGCAACGGCTTTCCTGCTGGGGATCTGAAGTGGACACAGGCTGTTATTCCCAGCACCAAGAGAGAGCTGGTGAACCCCCCCCGTGGCATCCCTGTGAAACCCCGCGGCATCTCTGTGACAATACAGGAGCATTTGCTTTCCATGGGTCTCTTGCTAGCATCTGCTCTTTGTTCAAATTTCGTGAACAAAAATATTTGAAAGGTAGATACAAAACATAAAAAATTGTGTGTGTCTAAAAGCCCGTGCATTCGTCTATCCAAAATGCGTTAGTTCATCTCTTATAAGAGCATGAAAGTATTTCTATAGCCAGTTCTCCCTCATCAATGATGCCTTAAATGCATGTAACAAAGGCTACCCACATGCTCGCCCTATACAGTTGTAAGGAAAGGATAATAGTATCTGTACCAGGAGAGCAGTTCTCTCTAAGTGATCCTTCTGACCCGAGGAAAATGTCATCAGTGACAATAACTCGGATACAGGCAAATTCATCTACTGCATCAGCTTTCCCCCTGTGCAATGTGACATGGAAATGAATGCAAACGGTGATATAAGTGTGAAGAGAATGAGCCTCAGCCCGTAAAAATGGCATTTCTTTACCATAGCCAGAACAAACATTCTGCTGGCTGAGTGGTTTGGGGCAAGCTAATAGCATTGCTTATGCTGCTCTACATGTGGAGAGCATGCACAGAAAGCGCTGCATTTGACAGAAAGAGTCTAGGTTTGTCTCATCAAGAGATGGGGCTCTGCTATGAGTTTATAGCTCGTTGTGAGGCATTTTATATCAGAAACCACCATGCTTATTGCTGGATATAAGCTGCTATTTAATGTTCAGTCTTCGGGTATCTATTAACGTATTTGGCTCTTATTATTTGATATATCACTTCATGCATAACTGGAGTCTGAGACACCTGTATGAAAGCACGTTGTGTGTGCAGGCTGCTTTCGTGCTTACCTTTTCTTGCACTGGCCAATCAACATAAATATGATGAGGCTACAGGAAAAACTCAGAATGACTGGAATGAGGATAAATAGCTGCTTGTCCTCTTTTCTGGACACTGTGGAGAGAAATGACGGTGAATAAGGCAATGGCAGCTTGCAGAACGAGTCGCATTACCTCTTTTAAAGCAAACTCAATGTGTTCGGGTGACCTGCTACCCTTCGGCAGAGCATTTATCTGCAGCCACCACTATGCAACTGTCTTCTTGTGGTAGGGCTAAGGCACACTGGGACAGCCTCTATAGAGCCCAGGCTTTGTGACTTGCCGGTGTTACATACTGTTTCTTTGGGAGTTAAGGCAGGGCCTATCTTCTCAGCTTGCCCCTATCGCTCTTAAAATTAGCCCTCATTTGTAGCAGAGGCAGCTGAATCCTCCTGGAAGCTCTGGGTGGGTGGAGAAGGTGCCCTGAGCGCACTTTTTTTTTGCTCGTGAGGAAAGGTTAATATTTTGGGTCTCGTCTGCTAAGTGCTGTGGAGATGCAAAGCCATAAGAACGACTATGCTGGATCAGGGTCCCGTCTCCAGCACCAGATACCAGCAGATGCCCATTGCAGCCATCAGCACTTTGTCCCAAACTGGCTCTGTAAGGATGTAGAAGAAATGCCGGTTGCGTTTTGGTTCCATACCAGAGAAACACTCTTGCGTCCATTCGCTCCAAAAGCCCTGGTCAGCACAGAAGATATTTGTTCTGCCCCTGACACGGACACATGAAACACGGCTTTGATTTGCTCTGAGAATGGTAAAGACGGTCTCCATTTGCGTTGACACAGACTAAGAAACAAAACAGCACAGAGAACAAAAATCGAGGAATTGCATCCCACAGCTAGTAGCTCTCCGGCATGGTCTGATGTTTCCAAACATGCTACCCAGACTCTGTGAGCCGTTGGATTATGTTTCGGCAGTTTTAAAGGATTGCACAATAGCTTTGGACCAACCAATGCCAGAAAGATGATTGTAGAGATTAACCTACTGAAAATATATACATTCTGAGGTCTCTGTCATGTATGTCGCCATTTATGCATGTTAATTTACGGAATCCTTCTTGGAATTGGCTAAGTAGATTCATATCTAGAATATGACAATTAAAGAAAGAAAATATCTGTCAGATGTCCCTATGACTAATTAATTTTTGCTATTTTTGCTATCAAGTTTTGCTATCAAAACTGCAGCTGAATAATGCAAAAGGAATAAGCAGTATGCAGAAATGATGCATTGTGTCATGAGCCGCTTCTTTGGCAAAATGAGAATTATAGTTTCCTTGGACCAGCTTGTGCTCCTGTATTCAGGAAAGCAAACCAAAACAACCTTTACATGCGGTAAGTGAAGTTTCTGACATAACAGGCTGGGGAAAATGCTCGTTCAGAGACTTGCACCGGGGGCTGTTGTTAAAGCAAGCACTGGGGCTGGGGGGTCACGGTGTTAAGCAGGAACACGTGCGGGAGGGCGGCGGGTCGGGGTTTTCCACCGCGTGCCTCCGCTTCCCGGCCACGAGGCAGGACCCTGGTTAGCCCCATCTCCTCCCCGAGCGACGGCGCGCTGCGCTGCCAGCAGCGGTGTGTTTTCCCTACCGCCCAGGCAGCCTTGGCGTCTCCTCGGTCTTCTGCCAGCTGCACCTCGTACTCCCGACAGCCCCTCCGGGGGTGACGGCTTTGCTAGGGGAAAAGAGAAGGTCAAGCGGTGTAATGAAACGGAGCCTCGCGGGAGCGGATTTGGTTAATCACTGGCAACCTCTGATCTTCCCCGAAAAACGGTATTTTGACGCCCCCCCTCCCGTTGCTATCAGTCGCGATGCTGTAGGAGCGTTGGCTGCTCCAAGGCCGGAAGCTGGATCGTTTGTTTTAACTTGGCGCACGGATTGCGCCAGCTCCGCGCGCTGAAGCGCGGCGCGGGGACTTTGACCGCCGGCGTTGGAGCATTGCGCCGCGGGGCGTCCCCGTCCCCTGCCGCGAGCGCCGGCCCGACACGCTGCATCGCAGCGGGGGCTCTGGCTGATGCCGCGTGCCCAAAGCACACAAGCAGCACATGGCAGCGCTAATCAAATCCAGAAATCCTGCTGCTTGGGTCAGTGGCTGCACTGGAGGACTAGCTATTTGTTCTGCGACCTTGATATTTGGTAAAGGCACCCGGAGAGTAAGTGCCCACAACAACGGGTGAGTACGAGCGTCAGGTGATATGTCATGCTGCGCTCTGCTTGCTCTCCTCGTCTCTGACGACTCGGAAACCCACCTTTGCTTTTCAGCCGTGCAGCACTGGCAGACCCCATCACACCTTGCACCCAATTCTCTGTCGCCGGGGACTTGCTTTAAACAAGCCCTCCCCGGGGCTGGCGGGGCTGCAGCAGAGGTTTCCCTCCAGCAGCAGTGACTGCAGCCACCTCTGCCATGGTGCCACCAGGGCTAGGGCTCCGGTACAGTCTACTGGGGCGAGCGTGGGACAAGGGAGCTCACGGACCCACGTTCAGCCCTTCCACCCGCTCAGCCAGGGATGACCCCTAGGCTGCTCTCTGCCTCAACGCGGCCGTTGCTGCAGACCAGAAGCGGTCGGCTGCCTGAGCACGGATGGCACTTGCACGTCCCGGGCCAGGCACCGAGCAGTGTCGCTCAACTGCAAACGCTGCTGGAGACTAAAGTCCTGCATGGCACATGCCACAGCCCCTTCTCCAGTGACAAATTCATCCGGACACTGTACAGCTGCCCATGTGTGATGCCGACGTTAGTTTGCGTCCCCTCGGTGCAGCAGGGTTAGCCTTTGCCGCCCGGCGGCCGCCTGGTTCCCCGGAGCCCGGCTGAGCTCTCTGCGGTTCTTACCTAGGTTTTGGAGGCGAACGGTGACGTACAAAGGTCTCAGCAGCGTAGCCGCCGCGGAACCGTTGACGCAAATGGTCAGGTCCTTATATTCTGCCTGGCTCAGATTTTGCAACATGCAGCCAATGTTTATACCATGGTCCTGAATATAGTCATCACACTGCTCTGCATGGTCCAGGCCCTCGTACCTAGAGGTGTGCCAGGAAAATGGGAGAAAAAAGAAGAAGAAGGGGGGAAAAAAAAAGCGAGGGCAGTAAGTATTTGCAATATAGGTTTTTTTTTTTTTTGAGAATGGTTAGATGGGAGTAAAACTGGACCTAAGCCACGACTATCTCCTATTTCCTACCACCTTTTGATTTTGGAAGTGACCCCCCCCCC